TTGTTTTTACCCCGCCCAGCACCCCTATTCGCACCCCGGTCCCGTAAGTTTGTTTGGTTGAAAAAATATTTAAAAAAACATAATTTCCCTTCTCCCCCAGCATATTTGCAATCTCTAAGGACAATAGAATGTGAGTATATAAAAATTTTCTTATATAGTCGAAAAATAGCCCAAAAACAAATTAATTATAAATATATAGACAGTTATTATTTACATAAACAAAACTCACCTTCTTAACAGCACTTAAGGGACATAAAGGGCCATTACTACCGCTTTCCCGTTCAAAATATTTTAATAAAGTTGTTACTAAACAACTTTATTAAAAATTATAATAAAAGTTTGAGTTTTTTACCGCTATTAACCTATCTTGTATACTTCGCACTAAAAGAGGTTCTAAAAAGAACAATGTTCGGCTGCAAGGTTTGCCAGTAAACATTTTCAAGCTTAAAGTACCTATTACAAAACTATCTATTTAAACCGTTTATCTACAAAAACTCGTAATATACAAAACTAAAGTGTCAAAACGAAAGACAATGTCAGGATAAATAAATAGATGCGGCAACTTGACTTTTTTTACAGCAGAGGTAAGAGCTACCACCTGAATTGCCAGTGCGAAATTTAATTTCCAGTTAATCAGCACGGCGCCGAAAAAGTCCGTGGTTGGCAACAATGAATTTAAAAATCGCCCCTCGATTACGCAACTAAAAGTTTAATTGATATGAAATATAGGTAAATAGTAATTATGCAGAAATATTGATGCTAAAAGCTTGACTGGTTATTTAAATATCCTTTTTAACGGTCATAGATCATTTTACGTAACTGAAATAAACATCGAACAAGAAATGCAAATAAACAATAATTTCCAAGGCAATGCTTGATATTTATGTGACCATTTTACTTAACTCGTTTTATAATATGGCGTATACAATGGGAAACGAAATTTTGCATAATGAGGATATTACTGTCCTGTAAATTAGGCAGATCTTAGGCAACGTCATATTTTTAATTAGTTATTTTTTATGACTATTCCCAATGCAATTGCAGAACTGAATATCAAGACTACTTTCTAAGCTCTTAAAATTAGATTCTAATAGGTAATAATGGTTTTAAATACTATTTGAAGGATCCATGGAAAAAAAGTGAAAAACGCCATTTTACTAATTTTACAGGAGAGCACTGGATAACTGGTGGTTATCGGGTTCTTTCCGTGTTTTCTATATTTTTAGTAGTTTAGTTTTTATAGCATATATCATAGGATTTAACAACTTATTGCTTTGCAGAATTTGCACAGGGTGTTCCGAACTCTATTCCGGAATCTTAGGCAGCATATTCTGCACATAAAAATAAGTAAAAAAAATCGTATAAACTTATGTCCTTTTTATAATGCTTCATTTCGGAGATACAGGGTGTAGAAGTTTCATTTTTATTTCGTTTTTTTCAAATAATTTCTGAACTACAGTCGATATTTGGATGAAAATTGGTGTCTGGATATTTTTTGACAATAAGAAATTTGATTTTCATGTCAATTTGACTTCTACTTGTAGAGTGCGAAAACCTACATGTTTTTAACTCTTTTGAAGAGTAATAAATTTTCGTCCGTACCTGTACGAAACTTTGGGTGAAAAAATATACATTTTTTACGTAAAAAAGTTCTCCTGGTAAAAAGCGCTACAACAACCGTAATAGATCAGGGACTTGGAACACCCTCAAAAAGGAAATACCACTCCTGCAACTCCCAGTGGACGATATGCCAAGAACGTACAACTTTGACAAACATGTCAATGTAGTATTGAGCAATAAGAAGGAATGGAAGAGCGAAACGCTTGCCCAGCAGTTAAAAGACCATACCATAACTTGGTATACTGATGCTTCCAAAACCAATACGGGAACAGGGATCGGAGTGTTTGGGCCGAGAGCTAATTACTCCGAACCAATGGGCACTTACCCTAGTATCCTACAGGCAGAAATCTCGCTATCGAGAGATGCGTACAACTTATCTTAGATAGGAACTATCGGAAACAAGAAATAGCCATCTTATCTGATAGTCAAGCAGCGTTAAAGGCGATCAACTCAGTCTCAATCAATTCGAAATTGGTCAAAGAATACATAGAGAAGCTGAATAAATTAGGCAAAGAAAACAAAGTCCTCCTACACTGGGTGCCTGCTCACCAAGGGATAAAAGGCAATGAAAAAGCAAATAATCTAGGTAGAAAAGGAGCGAACACTCCACTAACTGGACCAGAACCGTTCTGCTTTCCAAGTGGTAACCAACTCAAGGAGGAACTCAAGAACTTGGAAGATTCCATCCGCAACCTGGAATGGAAATCTTGCAATGGTCTAGGACACTCGAAGAAGTTTCTGAGGGCTTATGATCAATAAAAATCACAGATCTTCCTAGGTCTGAGTAAGAACAATCTTCGGATTGTCACGGGGTTTTTAACAGGACACTGTCTCCTCAATGAACACCTCAGCAGATTGAAACTAAGAAGAAACGGCGAATGCAGATTCTGTGGGGAAGATGGTGAAACACCAGTACACCTCATCACTGAGTGCGCCGAGACGACAACCATTCGTGCCATGAACTTTGGTACGACTGATATTGGAGATGGAGAACTACCCTCTATAAAACCGTCCCAGATACTGGCTTTTGTCAAAGCCCTGGGACTCTATGATGAGTTATGATTCAAGAAAGGGGGACACAATGGATCTGTAAGGTCGAAGTGATTAACCCCCCTCCCACTCATTCTAAATTCTAAAATTTTAACAACCGTAATGGTTCTCAGGATTTTTGGAAACGAAATAATATATGTCTTTATTGACAAAAATTAGAAATGTTTACTAAATAGTTGACTTTTATATTAGACTGAAATAATAAATGTAAATTGTTGAAGAGAAACTGTTTAATCATCAATTCTTTCTAGAAAAATACATAATTATTAAAAAAAAGTTTCCAAATTTTTTGTTTCAGTCACACGAACTTTTTTACTTATTTTTATCTGCAGAAGTTTTTCAGAAAGGAAGTTTCCCGAATATACTTCGGACTACCCTGTATATTGAGGCTTTAATTACAATGGGAAAAAGATAGAAGAAAGAAAATGATGTTTTTTGATGATATACCTACATACGATTTCGATTAATTTTATTTTTTTATGTTTGTGGAAACTACGTCATGGGAAAATTCTATGAAAAACAAATTTCACGACAAGAACAGGAAAACAGTTTAACATAATTACAGATTAATATAAACAAGAGTATGATTATGAAATAGCATAGAGGTTTTATTTAGAATTTTGTGCCTTACATCTTTACAACCTTCGACATTTAATATTTTCTGTTAAACTTCATATACAGAGTGATCACTGGGAGTCACTTCGATTAATATAGCAAAATATACATTTAAAACATCTAAAAATTCGAAAAAGTAGTGCAAAAACTAATACTTTTGTGACGTTTGAAAAAAAAATTTAATGGCATAGAGTTTTCCATATTATTGTTTTTTGTATTTTTATTATATATTTTGCTAATAAATAAATATGATTTTTACTATTTAACTGAAATAGTTTATGTAATAATATAGAGCTACCGTATGATAAAAAAACGTCCTCCAGTTGGCTTGGAAATGACGATCGATGACACATTCCCCATATAATTTTACATGTAAAATGACAGCGATCTTCATTTCACAGCCATAGCTGACGCCGTTTTTTTTTTCGATCATAACTTTTTAAAGGATCATACAGTATTTATGTATTAGTTGGCTATAAATTACGGGCATCCAACCTTCGCATAACACATTGAATTCGATAATAAAATTATCACTACAAATTAATTTTCATTGTTCATAACACGTTACAAAACAAAAAAATAACCATTGACCGCAAATTTTAATGTTTAAGATGGACATATATTACATAACATGCAACACCCATTATTATAAAAAAATATATAGTATATAAATGTCTATTTATGATAGGTGCATAGTTCTGTACAGTGGCGGATACATAGGGGGGCACATAGGGCCCAGGCTCCTTTAAAATCTATAAATTAGGTTAAATTCTTACACATTACTTTTTATTTGGGCCCCCCTAACAAAATTTCTATAATCGCCACTGGTTTTGTAAATCCTTTTTACTCAACATAAAAATAAATTACAACATTGTTAAGGTTATAAATAGAAGAGTACGAGCAACTAAATAACGTCTAGGGCTTGACCTCGTTAAAATTATCACCCATTATCATTGCTCAACCCTCTCTGACGCCGTTTTTTTTTTTTGATAATATGGTATTTCGTTCTGCAAAATGTAGAGTAGCAAAATTTTTAGATAAAATTAAAAATATTTTAAAATGTGTTAAACATAGAGGTACATATATGACATATACACAAAGTGTTTAGAATTTCATATGGATTACATAATCAAAGAATATACAGGACGTTTTTTTTTAAATAGATAAATTAATATACAGGGTGAGTCTTAAGTAAGTACAAATATTATCAGGATCAGGGCTGGTAGATCTCGACTAAAGAAACATATTTTCTCTTTACCGTTTTTCAAATAAGTCCAAAATAATCGAGTTATTTTACTTTCAAAATTTCCCAAAAAATATTTTTTGCTTAAATTTTGAGTAGAACTGGATCTTTTCTGGGTTTTCTTTCGCGTAAAATTAGTCTACTACCTATGTTGCAATATTATCAAGAAGACTACGCATTTTTTTTAACAAAAAAAAATCGAAAAACATTTCAAAAAATTCAAAATGTTCATTTTTTGTGAAAAAAAGCCTCATAATCGTGTTTCTGGGATAGAAATATACTACCCCTAAAAATATTTGCTCTTATTTATTAAGACTCACTAGGTATATCCACATAAACCGAAAATGCCAGAAAGTGGAAAATATTTTGAATTTTTGTGTTCAATCTAAACTAGATCTTTAAATCTTTGAAGACATCAGTTGCAGGAAACGCTCTGTACAAAAAAATTTCGAAGCACCCAAAATAGTCTTACCTTTTCATTATAATCCCTTCTCCTGATTTCCGACACTATCCATGGCATCATAGCACTGGAAAACCGCCTGTCCATCGACGTAAATCCATGGTATATAACCGGCATCAACTTCATTTTGACTCGCACCGTATATTGGCATAAAAAAACTCGCGGTTTTAGATGATATCAAACAACCAGTCCTTGATCAGAATTTTCGTTAGCTTGTAGGAAGCGTGAATGATGAATTTTATGTCGTTGAAATAAAACGTAAACATAAAAGCGTAAATGGGGATGGAAACCACGACATATTCCTGAAGAAAATTCCAACTGAATGCCATGCACAATGCACAATCGCCAATTCGGGTTTCAGCGATGCTTGAACTGATTTACACGATTTTTCGTGACTTTAAACACTTATTTTATCGAAAATAACCCGATGACTGTCCACTCCATCGAAAGATCGCGAATTGTCTGTTTCCCAGAGGTGTAAAGAGTTCGAGTATTGATCCCCGCGTAAGGCTTGAATGAACACAACTGCAGGAAACTCGGAATTCTTGATAGATGTGGCGGTAGAAGCAAAAGCCACTACATATCGATCCGCTGTGTTAAATGTAGCGACCGTGTGTTTTCGACAAACGAATATTCTTGTTGTTTTTTACATGGGACTCATTATTCAAACAAACAATAAGAAAACCGCAACAGGACAAGGTCAATTGGTATACCAAGTTGGTTCGAAAAGTTTTTTTTCCTGTAAAAGTTGAAAAATCTCTAATTCTCAGTTTCCTCCTTGAGATTTTCTCTTCAACTTTTTCTGGAAAGTAAACCTGGCAATGCGTATGTATAAAAACTTTGTAATACTTTGTTGCTTCAAAAAGTAAAAAAAATATACAAAATAAAAGTAGTCCATTCTTCTGCAAAAAGCTCTATACACGTTGTCTCCATCGTTGTCTCAATTTTCCGTGGACATAGAATATATAAAACTATACCATGTATTTTTGGAATCAGGTTATAATTGAACACAATTTACCTCATCTATACAAAAAGTGCTTCGTTTGCCTATTAAAGAACATCAATGAAAAATAAACCTAAACGTTATTAATTTTAAAAAATTATACCTACTTAAACCATTAAATTCTACGTAAAAAAGGTGCTTTGGCAATGTTTTCACAAAAAATAATTCCATAGCAAAAAAGTTACAGTGTTTTGTTAAAAATGCACATTTTTGAAAAACACAAAATTGAGCTCCAGACACCGATATTAGTTTACGTCTATCTCCTATAGAAAAAGGTGTTTCCCTTTAAAAGCGTCCAATTTGACGCACCCTGTATCTATAATAAACTTATTTTAATTCCAGAAATACGTAGTAGATTTATATCTACGGAATATTGGGACACCCTGTATATAGCATTTTTTTGTTAAATAATTAGTAAAAGGAAAACTAAAAACTTATAAAAATATAATCGAGATGATCATGAGATAATATTGTTTTTCCCTTTTCTCTCTGCCAAAAATCAATTTATTTCAACCAATTACCAATGATTTCAACTTTTTCAACTCTTTGTTCTATGATTTAACATCATATATAAAATAATTTCTGATAATTATTCCCGTCCTATAATTTATATGATTTAGGTATACATTAGAACTACTAGCCCCTGTCTAATACATTTGAACTAACTTTTAACCAAAAAAGGTTGGTAACTCTGACCAGACGAGAGTTGTTCTATGGAGCTGTTTTGACATTTTAGCATTTTAGTGGTTAGGTCATTTTGCTAGAACTGGAACATCAAAATAAAATTTAATTATTTTTATTCCTTTACACACTTAAATACTTATTAATATTAAAATGGATTTGTCAAAAATGCCAAATGAAAGAAAATTGTACCTTAGCAAATGGTACTTTATAAGTAAGTATATAAATCTTGTAAAATAATACAGATCTTAAAATATGTTGTTTATTTAAGGTGGATTGGCTTTTTTGCCCTTTATTTGGGCAGTTAACGCTGTATGGTTTTTTAACGAAGCTTTTAGGAAACCAGAATATGCAGAACAAAAGCAGATTAGAAAATGTACGGTACTTACCCTAATCATATTTTGATGTTAGTTGCTCTTTGTTGTAGATGTTATTTGCTCTGCAGTGGGAGCTTTATTATGGCTTATTGGATTAGTTACATGGGTAACGATTTTCCAGATCAACAGGGCAAGTTGGGGTGAATTCGCAGATTCAATATCGTTTATAATACCACTTGGAACACCATAATTTTATTTTTGCTTCAGAAAAACATTTTTTATATTGAAATTAGTAAAATAAAACAAAGTAAGTGACAAAACGACATATATTTTACATATTAATATTATTTACCAATAAAGTATTATAATAAATTTATATTATACTTAAAAAAATATAATCTAAATAATGGCAAGATAAATTGTCAAAAAAGAAGGAATGTATGTAATAATTATAAATTAATAACTTTAATACTATGATAAATCTTTTTATATTTGGCACTATTTTCTCTTCATGCCTTGTTGTGATACAAACACAAATTAGCACTAAATTTTAAATAAAAACCAGATAATATTAAACAGAAATAGATATGTTTTTTTTATTTACATGTGTTAGTAATATAATTTGGACTTATCACATGTTGATTTAATTAATACTATATTAAATGCTGAAAATGCATTAGTAATTTTTTTCTCAAATATCTTCTCCATTTTTTGTCAATAGTTAGATAAAATCATTATCAGCATACAATATGATTGTATATTTTATTTAATTTGTATACTTAAAATGTATATAAAATTGAATTTACAGTCTATAGGTACATAAGTTTGACATTATTCTATTCTTCTGTCTCTTCTGTGACTTCTACACAAATTAATCTCGTGTTTTACAAGTCGAACTAACAGTATCATTGCGAATATATCAGATAGAATTAACATGTAAAATACATTATGCCAACCATAACTTGAGACAAATCCTGCTAACAGAGGACCCACTGCTGCACCTAAAATTAGAAATTTATAGCAGTTAATAACTTTTAATAAAAAAAAACACTCACCTATTGACCCAGTCCCATCAATAATAGCTGTAACAGTAGCCAAAGCCTTGGAATTGCCTTCAAGACTGTGATGAGTACCTAATTCTGCAGAAACAGCTGTCGTTATTAAAGCGTACGGCCCATTAACCAGAACGCCAACAATAATCAGAAGAATCATGTTCAATCCTATGCTTACAACGCTGAACTTCTGATAGATAAACATCTTAAATAAGAAAAACACTATTATCAAATATTAAAATTATACAGCAAATCAACTTTACCATTGGACCTGCTAGTGATAACATTGCAACGCATGTTGTTGCAGGCATTTCACTTTTGTCACTCATTACCCCTGCTATCACAGCTCCGGCAATACCTCCAACATCAAATAAAGTCGATAAATCAGCACTTAAAGTAGCACCCATCGTAGCTGAAAGTCAGATAGACAATAAATGATATTAACTATATCAGTATTATTTGAAGTTCGAAGAAGTTTCTGAGGGCTTACGACCAAGAAAAATCAAATATCTTAGTTAGAGTTAGGTAAGAACAATCTTCGGATTGTCACGGGATTTTTAACAGGACACTGTCTCCCCAATGAACACCTCAGTAGATTGAAACTAAGAAGAAACGGCGTATGCAGATTCTGTGGAGAAGATGGGGAAACACCAGAACACCTCATCACTGAGTGTGCCGAGACGACAACCATTCGTACCATGAACTTTGGTACGACTGATATTGGAGATGGAGAACTACCCTCTGTAAAACCGTCCCAGATACTGGCTTTTGTCAAAGCCCTGGGACTGTATGATGTGTTATAACTCAAGAAAGGGGGACACAATACAATAAATCTGTACGCAATGATTAACTCCCACTCATTCTAAATTCTAAAAAAAAAATTATTTGAAATACTCACTAGAAGCGTTGACATAAAGTGGTAACCAATATAAAAATGTATAGCTAACTAATTTTGAGAAAAAGAGGCAAAGGGAGAATTCTACCACTCCTGGTATCTTCAGAGCACCCAAAAATCCAATAGCTTGATCTTGAGATTCTTTGGAAGAATCGCCTAATAATCTTGATCTCTCTGTCGTTCCTCGTCTCTGAATCTCCTAAAAAATACATATTTATTAAATCTCAAACTCCAACAATACACTCATATCTTGTAATAATATGAAGTGTATCCCCTATAGGCTTGGTGCATTCTCCGCCGGTGCTGCCACCATCCGAGAATATCGTAAACAACTGATATATACAATTACACGGGTTTAAATAGTTGGTTGCAGTTGTTAAGAAGTATAATTTGTGAAAATTTTAAGAATAAAAATAAAAACGAAATACATATTTTGATATCTTCAGAAGATCTAACTTTTATTATAAATTATTATTCCAGTTAGCAAGCATAGTTTTTGCTAGTGGGGTCATAATTGGGGCTATTTCGGCTATAACGAAATTTTTTAAAGGTACACAATTATAATTTGTTCGAAGATGTTCATAAAAATTTAATCACTAGTTGATAAAAAAATATACCATTAATATCACAAATTATATTTTATCCTCTGGTATATGTTTATTTAATTTTTTGATTATGTAACAAGCACTTTCTTTACTCCCTTGTTTCGTCGAACTGCTTGAATCCATTTTTGCTTTTGATCAAATCGGTGTGAGAAACTATGAAGCTATAAAATGTTGTTTCGGGAGGAACCCAACAACGCCCTAATTACGCTCTTTATGCATTAACATTTTTTCAGCAATTTTATTAATATTTGAAATTGTCACAACACAACACGACGCCTAGTTCGGATTCTTTTTCACTTATTTTTTACTACCCAAAACAGTGTACATCACACAAGCCTTGTACCTGAGTGTAATAATCTGTACCTGAGTGTTTTATAGTTTCAATAACTGCACTAGCAAAAAACTTAAATACTTAAATATTATGACAAAGCCACGATTTCAATATTATTTTAATGCAAAAACATGAACTGTAACCGGGACGGCGTGAAATATGTACATAGTGAAAATTTCTGATTTCTGCCGTATACACCGCGGTGGTCAAGTGAAATGCTCCAAGCCTATAATATTAATACTATTTTAAATCAAACTAAACAACTTAAAACCACTTGTATAATTTTGGTACTATCTAAAAATAAGCCCTAAGAAATTAAGCAGCGAAAAACTTCTTTCTTTCTCTAGAATACACATTTTATGTCAAAGCCCATTTTATACTTTAATTAGTGACAACCACCACTAGAAAAAACTTATATCAAAAAATTCAAAACACCATGTTAAAACAAAAAGCAAACCGAAAGAATAACTTACTGTACTTGAACAGCTTGATATATAAGAATTTCTAGAAGAAACCTAGAAGATTATTATTATTTTTAAGAGTTTTTTACATTACATCTACAGAGTAATATGTTTTACATAGTTAAATTCAAATAATACAATTTTTAAACTTACATGTTCACCAATTGATATATCTCTATCGTCAACATCTGAACTTGAAGCCGACTCTGATGCAGTATTGGCAACTTGATTATCAAGCGATCTATAATATTTCTGAAAATTTCAAGAAGACTTTTTAATGAAGAATATCAGTTATTTGATTAAACTTACGCCAGCCTCGATACGACTTTCAGATGTAGTAAAACCAACATCAGCTGGATTGACTACAAGAAAAAGAAATAGAATAAAGCCTGCAACACCGATTACTAAGCCAGGCACAATAAATGATAAGGCCCAATCATCTTCTACATATTTAGCAGCTATTAAAGTTCCTAAAAAATAATATTTTAATGAATATACATTGTCAGTTAGTAAGTAAACAAGCAGACTTACCTAATATGTTTCCAATACTTGTATGTGAATTCCATAGACCAAAAATAAGGCCTCTTTTGGATTTTCCAAACCAATTGCTCATCACAGTTACAACCCCCGGCCATCCTGTCGTTTGAAAAATACCAGCCAAACTCTGTAAGATGTAAATTATTGAATTTATTTAGAAAAACTAATACCTGTGCTAATACCAAACATTAAAAACCTTGTTTAATGTTATCTACTTTGCATTTTATACATACCTGCATAATAACATAATATGTCAATCTATGAATATTGTATGTTTTTCCAATGCCAAATAAGTAACTAAAAATTCCCGACATCAACATTCCTATACTTAGAAAGTACCTCAAATTAACCCTTTCAGCTATAAATCCTGATACAAACATTGCTACGGCATAACAAAAAAGAAATGCCGAATCTAATTCTCCTAACATTTGGGATGCCATTGAATCTGATCCATCTAAAAGAAACAAACTGTTGATATTGCTTCTCAAGAAATCAAGCATGGGGTGTGGTTACCGAATGGTGCCCAGTCACACCAATTATTTGGTGCATCTGGGGAGGGTGCTGGCAAAGTACTACAGTTTCTATGTAACACTGCTTTCACTACTGAAATGGGTTTTCTTGATAAGTGATAACACATATAGGCAACGTACGTTAAAAAGACAACACTTGTTTTGTAGCTGTAACAAATCGTTTGATATATTCACAGGGTATCAGTGTTAAAGGATTTGTATGCCTACCATAATTCTCTGTTGAAGTAAAGTCTGGGACAACACCGCTCTGTTACTTTCTGTAGAAATTTTACGCCCCACGGTAAATCGTTGAGCATTAAGCTCATTTTAATCTGTCTTCTTACAAGCCTTAACTTTACACAAAGAAAGAACATAAATCCTGAAATTTCAAAGACATGAAGAGTTATAAACAAAAGACACTTCTAACCTTGAAGTTAAACGAATTAAATAAACAATTTACCTTAATAATAACACTTAAACTCAAAGGTAAATAAGCATTACGTGAGTCATTTGAAATTAAATCATGCTGTTATAAATTAATTTCTGTTTTACACCCTACAATATTCAAAAAGATTTGCTTAGGTGGTATTTTCAAATTGACAATATGACAGTCACAGATAAATGACAATCAGCTGACACTGACGTTCAAAAAATTTTAATCTGTAGGAACAACGATTTTTTTAATCTACTGGACATTTTACCTACCCGAAGAAAAACAAGAATTTTCTGAATTTTATAATAAATTGTTAATGCTGATTTGCTAATATAAGATATTATGGTATATACCTATAACTTAAATAATTTTTTATATTAAAATTTAATTTTTAAATTTTCAGTATGAAAATCCGGTATTTTTTATTGATAAATCTATCAAAGTACAGTCTATGAAATATTTTTCATATAATTTTATATAAATAATTTTCCAAGATTATTGTTTTGATTTATTTTCAGAAATAAAAAAAGCTTAATGGATGTTATAAAAGTATGAGTTGTATTCGGCCACTACCTTTATTATCAGCGCAATGGTAATTATGATGCAGTAAGGCGAACTGATATAGAAAAACCTACGAGAAAAACGTCTTTGAAACAATATTAATTTTTCAATGAAAGTGGTATAAAAAAAACTGCTGTATAAAATCTCAAATTAAATATTCACCAAGAACAAGTTCTCCTGAAATGACGTAAAAGGGTATTGATTTTTTAATCAAATCTCATTAAATTTTTCGTATATTATTTGTGAAGTGTTTTTTTTTCGATTAGATATCAGATTAAAATTATTGTTTGTTCATTCCAAATAGCAGAGGAGGGCTAAGAAAGGATAAAAGACAGCAGCTGTTTAAAAAAGCGCAAAATGTTTATTCAAATTCTGCCTCGCAGTGTACACGTGACGTCAAGTGACGTAAATTGACAGTCCTGATATCTACATGTGAAAAAGCGTACTAATCAGACGAAAGAATTTTAGTGGCCAGTGAAATTTTACATGGTGTCCGCGTCGATAACATCAAAAAAATGTCCGCAAAATCGTCTCCGGTCGAAAAACTTTTACGAGTGGGCTATTACGAGCTGGACAAGACCATCGGCAAAGGCAATTTCGCCATAGTTAAACTGGCTACACACATCGTCACCCGAACGAAGGTAACAAGACAAATGTCAAAGTTTTCGTTAGACTTTTTGCTTTTGTTTTGCGGAAATCCGAAAGAATTCGTTGTATAGTGGGGCCCCACAATTTTTAGGGGCTCGTACTGTACGAGTTTCATGGTTTAATGGGCTGGAACAAGGGCCGTCAGCCTTGACAGGTTCATATCTCGTCCGGCTAAGCGCAATGCGATATTTTATTTTATTGAGTGGTAATATAACTATAATTTTCATTAATTAGAAATGTGTGACATGGGATGGCGATCGCTTCGAAGGGAACAGACAGCAGACCAATTTTTTATGTGGCTCCGACAAGTGGGCTTGCCCTGTTGAGGTCGTCCTTCTGGCCGATTTTGTTTGTTATGTTATCTTAATGTTTTTATCAGGCCAGCTTTTATTTGTTGATAACGAAGTTGTGTAATTAGATAAAAAGGCTGGTTTGGTATTTTTTTCGGTAACGATCGTCTAATGAGACTTTGAAATTCTTCAAATCTATTTTGTTTAAAATTCTTTCGAGTTTTTCTTGTTTATATTAACCAAAACAGCTTTTTGCGTCATTACCTACTAATACAAGTATCTAGTACTCCGTTTTTTTGTTTTCTTTACAAATTACCACGTTATGAGAGATATTTCGAAATCCCAGGCGCTATATTTGATACACGTGGGTATTTATTTTTTTATTTGTTTAATTAATTAGGATTTTGTCAGGTATTTACTTACCTAATATATATTTTTTTGAAAAATTACTTTACTTCAAAGGAAACAACTAGACTGGTAGTATTAAGGATAAACTAACAACATAGTTTCATAGATTAAACATAAAATTTGTCTGTTTTTATAGGATCCATGTGCATTTCTAATATCCTTATTAAATAGCAAGTAATAACAGCATCAACAAGTCTGTATTTGTATTAGAATTAGTAAGTTTAATGATTATTTTGGTGTATCCATCCATATTCATATGGTTTTATACATGTTTTATAGATATGCTTATAGAAAAAGTAACACTGTGAATTTATCTATAAAGATTTTAGAATTAAATCCTGAAAAAAATATTCCAAAAACATACATCAGTGTTTATATTTTTGTTAATAGGAACAGCCCATCACAACCAAACTCTATAGCACGCTATCCCATATTACACTATAGTACTTATCTCATATTACACCTTGAAAGAAACGACATTACAGTAAGCTAAGACATAACTATTTATTTCGAGCATTCCTACACCTATCGCTGAAATTCTTAACAGTTTGTAACTTCTTAACAGTGACAGTAAAAAAATGGATCACGATCATTAACGTTAACTGATCCACGAAACTAACTTAAATGATAAAACCGTTTGATCATACGATATAGATCATATAAGGATCATTTTTTTGAATAATCAGTCATCAAATTATTGATCATTACTTGCATCGCACTAAGCTTTTTATGGTATGGTACATAAAGTGAAGAATCTGAAAACGAAAATATTATAACAATGCAAAAATGTCATAAAATATTGTGTTTGATATAATTGTGTTTTTGATGGCCCATGAATTACACTTACAACTGTTACAAGTATTTTGTTTACGAAATTTTCGAAAATTGATAGTCATAGCTAGGTAGGAATGGTTATAATCAGAAAAACATCGATATGCAGTGATCGGCACGAAAAACGGACATTTTAAAATTTTTATGTACAGGGTTGGTCAAATTCGACGCTTTTAAATGGAAACACCCTTTTCTATAGGTGATAGAGAAAAAATAATATCGGTGTCTGGAGCTCATTTTTTGTCAAAAACATGATGGTGAAAACCGCATGTCGATATCTGTTACCGTTTCGGAGTTACGGGGTGTTTTTCAAAAATATGCATTTTTAACAAATCGCTTAACTTTTTTGCTATGGAAAATGTTGTATTTTTGTATTTTTATGAAAACATTTCCAAAGCATCTTGTTACGTAGAATTTAATGGTTTAAGTATAATATTTTTAAAATTAATAATTTAAGAATTATCGACAGAAAATTTGATTTTTTATATGGGACACCCTGTATATTTTTAATTTATTGAAAAGAATTTAAAATTACCTTTCCAAAAATATAACACATTTGATATTTTGCTCGATTCCCCTTCGAGATATAGAGTATATAAAAATTTGCCCGGTTTAAATAAGTAGGCTTTGAACGGCACCGGCTGTAATGCAAAAAAATTCTAGCTGTGTAATATTTGCTATGAGAGATGCAGAATTGTATAACAATTTAAAATATATTTAACCAACATCAACACATTTAAACTATATCTAATAACAATAAAAATAAATAGAAAAGCAAGACATGAGATTTTGCTACAGGTGTTCGACATATCGACCGTCTTCTGTTATGGACAGACGGGGCAGTTTTTGGACATTTCTCGCGGAATTCATTAACACAGTAGGGGTGAAAGATACCATCTGATAACTGCTAAGTTGTTCTCATAACTGCTAATTATTGTCTAGATTATACGGAAGTATAAGGAACCTTTATTCTTCCGCAAATATATCCATAGGATTAGATCCGTGGGCACTAAATCAGGCTGGGCTGGGATCCTACGGCTGGGATCTTGGTTAGCTATTCAATTATTCTTGAAATTGACTGCAAAAATTTGCTGATAACTTCAGCGTTCAGAGGCGGTGCGTCGTCTTGCTGGAAAAATATGTTTTCAAGTTCCATATTTTTCTATTCTATAAAAATACACACACTTCAATCTGTTGAAATGAAATGTCACGCATCCATCAAAGGTATGTCCCGATCACAATAACAACCGTTTACTTTGTTACTCGGCGCGGCCTACCATCTACTAAGTGGATATTTTAAGAAAAATTTGAAATGTTGAGGTTAATAGTGAAAATAAATATAGAGTGTTATATATTTTCGAGAAGCCCATGATAAGCTGAATAAGAAAATTTAAAAATATACAGGGGGTTCTATTTAAAAAAAAACATAAGTATAGTTAATATCTCAAAAAATATTTTTTTCGAAAAAAGTCTGACTACGACACTGCATTCTACACAGAAAAGTGCCTTTAGAATGTATAATTAATTTTTCCGTGGTTGCTGAAATAAACAAACTATCGAACATCTTCAAAAAGTACAAAATTTGAGTATCCCCCTGTAGTTTCGAAACCGATCAAGATAGCCACGATCCGTTTGCGCCATTGTAATTTTTTCGAAAAAAGAACCCGAGACTGCAGTATCAAAATTTGAGTATTTCTCACGGTTTTTTAGATACCCTATAGAAACAACCGAAATGGTCCACCCTGTACATTAGGTATGTCCCGGGATTGTCTTTACAAGAGGAAAAACTTTTTTATTATTGATATTTTGAGAAAAAAGCTGGGAAAAAATGCATTCTTCATAAAAATTTTAGCTTCTTCTAAAATTGTTAATCCCGTAATACTGTTACCCTCTGTCTCGTTTTATTATTTTAGTGTTATTTTGACTAACGTCATATTTTTTGCTGTTGTTAAAGTATCACATTTTCCAATAACTATTATCACTTTTCCTACTGTTTAGACACGATGCACCCTGATGAAAAAGTAGTTTTTTAATTCTGTATTTTGTTAAACCATTTCATATGGTGTATATTACGCTCTATTCTGCTATTGAAACTTTCTTTGTATTGTAACTTGTTTTTTTATTTTATAGACGTTTCAACTAAACTTGCGTTGTATCTCTTTCAATATTAAATATACAAAATATCGATACTTTGGTTGTCGATATTTTTGCACCTCTCTAATAGTGGGTATTGTGCGCCGTGTCCTTTGGAAAGAAATATCGGAAATTCACGTGTTTTGGCTTTGTTTATAGTTTCATTAGAAGGTCACGTTGCCGAAACCAACCGTTCTCATCAATCCTGGTAAATTGATTTCAGTTTCAGGAGCTTTTTTATGTTTAAAATTCGTTTATAAACTGATTTAATGAAAGGAAGGGGACTCAATGAACTTGTCACTGCATAATTCAGGAGTAGTTTTACAATTTTTGCATTATATTATCTGGGAGAAAAATATCAGAATAATAGCCACTTTCTGGCCAGTTATATTTTATACCTGACGGAATTTTTACACTTTTCAGTTAACTAAGGATTGCTAACTTCATGATTACATACGCACATAATCCAAAGTGAATTTTACTCTACAGTATGTCCCCAGATTGTCTTTACAAGAGGAAAAACTTGGGGGTGCCTAGTTTACTGACCAAATTTAAAATTTCCTTTTTGAGATTAGTTGAAAGTAATACCACCTTAATTTTGCTACTGCCACCCAAAAATAAATTACTACCACCTTAATTAACATTTATATAGTAATAATTTGTACATTTTGTTTTTGACTGTTATGTTGTGTCGAAGATTATTAAAATAATAAATGCTATACATAATTTTATTACTAGTTTTATTTTAAGTAAGTAAATAAATCAATATTTATTGCAATTTAACCACTCAAGTATGAAATAATACATTTTCGTAGATTTAAATAAAATTACAGTGGTAGTAGGTAGTAAAATTAAAGTGGTAGTAGTCTATTTTTAGGTGGTAGCAAAATTAAGGTGGTAGTAAAAGCAAAATTAAGGTGGTAGTAATATATTTTTAGGTGGTAGTAGCAAAGTTAAGGTGCTAGTAGCCTATTTTTGGGTGGTTGTAGCAAAATTAAGGTGGTAGTAGTTTATTTTTGGATGGTAGTAGCAAAATTAAGGTGGTAGTAGTCTATTTTTGGGTGCTAGTAGCAAAATTAAGGTGGTAGTTGTACGTATTTAGATAGTAGTAACGTATATAAGCTGGTCAGTAAATTATGCTGGTCACTGAAATAGATTTTCCCGAAAAACTTTGTTATTATTGACATTTTGAGAAAAATGCATTCTTCATAATAATTCATGCTTGTTCTAAAATGGTTAATTTCGTTTATACATTTTCAAATTTCCATGTCTACTTCAGTAGACATCGGCTATTGAAACAATGAATATTATGTTTTATACAAAACGGTCTG